TTAGGGGTAAGGGACTTAAGAAACTTTTTTCACAAACTGTAATAATTAACAAAATTCCTTAATAAAGAAAGCAAATCAAATATGGTTGTAATCGTATTGCAAAATACAGGACTTGTTCAAGTGTGTGTATGCGGTGAATAGATAATGATAATATTCATTTCATTACAGGCGCCTTGAGGAGCACAGAAACGTTATTACAGTGCACGGCTGGGTCATGCCATCTCCGATTAAACTGTATATTATAATGGACAAAGTTGGGAACAATCTCATATCGTCCGTTAGAAATCTAGACCGAGAAACGAAACACGAAATTGCGCTTGATGTGGCAACGGGATTGGCCTACCTACACGAGCAGGGAATTATTTACAATGACCTGAAACCCCAGAATATATTGGTGAGTATGTATAAAAGCTTTCGAATTATTATAACTGGGTGGTCATAACATTGAATTGCTTTATATACGTCATATCTTTGGTGACCCCCAGTCCAGCAGAACCAGGATTGGCATGTTTTTTGTGTCGGGTTTTATCGATTGGGTTGTGGTGGGAATGAGATGTGGGTGTAGGGTGGTCATTGTGCAGAGATCATGGACATACACGCAACATAATATATTATAAATACACATATTAATTGGGAAATATTAATTAAAAATTCTTGGTCACTAATCGGTAAATTATTAATCTTCCCATAGTCACATGTGTAAAGTTTTTCAAAAAAATTATTGTAAATAACAGTCTTCGTTTATCTTTTCAGATCATGGAAAACGAGCATGGAAAACGAGGTGTAATTAATATTGGTAAAGCCGAGGGGCTCTTTGACATTACGCCACTGGGGGCGCCATTTCACTTAGCTCCGTTTCTCTATGAACATCCCAAGCAACGAAGAGTGTACGCCGATATGTACGCGTTCGGCATGTTGGTGTGGTTTCTATATGATGGCAGATGTCGACGACCCGAGGCTTTTGCCAGATTCACGACCAACGACATGATGAAACTCGCGGTGTTTGACAAAGTACTTCCAGAGCAGCCGAACAATTGCGATTTTTACCTATGGCGTCTAATGAAGGAGTGTTGGAGGGGGAAAAAAATTGTTAAGGCTGATGACTTGGTAAAAATACTCGAACAATTCGGCAACGGAGCCGGCGCGAGCACACGTTCATTTGCTTTGAAATCTCGCTCAGTTAAAAAGGATTAAACAAACGTGGCGGTTTTACATTTGTACCAACCGTTAAATGTGAAAGTCGTTTCTATCATCATCATCATTTCACATTTTTGGGGATGCAAAGCAAAATATACCAATCAGGGATAAAATCCTTTAACAACAGGTATCAAACAAATCCACTGGACAACCTATTTTCGATCCCCGGCTATTTTGTAGGTCTTTAGGGGAGACAATTATACGCACGGGTTTTAATATTCACTATGTCGAAGTGAATCAACGCCGATCGGCATAAAAACAATCGATCGGGGAAAATCTCATTGAGATGCGCGTATATCCCGATTGGCATATAAACCCATTCAACGGTTAGTCCTGACTAATTAGTGTAGAAAACAATATAATTTCGTACCCCTTTTCGCTAATGCAGAAGTCTGCTGAAACAAAATGAGAGAGATGTATATTTTGAGACTTCATTTTTCGTATTAGTATTATCAGATTAGATGGCAAAAATGCATTAAAATATCATGGAACATGGGAGGGGAGGGTAATACGTTTCCTACTTTATGAACCATATTATATTATTGTTCGAATTCATGAATCTACAACATTATTACATAATTTACATATTCGTGTTTCAAGTTTCCTGCTTATTTGGCTGAATATTGATTGGTCGATATATCCAAAGCATTTACATAGTTTGTTTGTGTGTGTGTGTATTTAATTCACAGGTATATCTTTTAAAATAAACTAACAATTGAACATTATTGTGTAATAGTTTTACCTTTGATCTGAACTTGGTATGTTATTTTTGCATTTAGAATTGAATTTCCAGGTACTTTTAGAATGCAACTTGAATAAATCAGCTATATACTTGGCACCAATTTTGACTAAATTCAACTCTGTCCTACGATTAGAACTACAGTGTGTAGTGCTATATTACGCACAAATAGATATATTGTGTAGCAAAGCTTTGATTTTAAAATTTTGTTATGTGACCTTGATGCAAGTTTTATTTACAGTGCGATACACGGGTTTGTAAAAACACACGATAATTCAACTTAATCCCATAGGCTGGTGAATATGATTACGATGTGATTCAAATCATAATGTTGATCCAGCTATCATATTTAACAAACAAAATCTGCTTAACTTTATCTGCTAATCACCAGGCAAACATATTCCCAAGACATATAATTCCCAGAATCCAACTTTAAAGCAAAAATTTAATCCCAATTCGGCCTATAAAATGGGCGATCATAACGTCTCAAATCAGCATATATGGGACACCTCTGACGAAATATCAAGAAAACCTAAATATTTCACTATTACGAGGTCGAAAACCAGTCTATATTTTGCCAATTTAAAACTATGACAAACGTACGACTATTTGAGCATAGGTCAAGATTTACTGGAAAACCTAATTAGATTACTGTTATTAAAACAAAAACTGTAAATAAACAACCCTTTGTTATCTGTTATAACACAGTTACTAGTACCCGTGGTTATAAGCAGGCTTTCTGTATTATACCTCCATGCTTATACACTGTCTTAACACATTTGACACACTAAATTTGAATAGCCACATATCCATAATTCTGTCCATGATGCTTTTGCAGAGGCCTTTAACCCCCATCTCCATGTCCACTCAGATGTCATCAACATTGTGACAAACGAGGTTACCACAAATGACAACAAACACTTTTGTTTCCACATTTATTCTGAATATACATAGATGTAATACAATTCAGAGTCCTAAAGCTAGAAAGCATAATGTGTAACATTTGTCATGAGGAATTAAAAGAGACTTATCATTACTATATGTACAAGGGATAGTAGAAAAACTAAACGTATGTAGCTGTAGAAATACAAACAATAGTATTAATGATCTCATTTTTTACCGCATAAATATGTACCGTAATAGAAATGCTTCACAAGTCACCCAGTCTCTCCAACACACTTCTCAGGAACAGTAATTTAGGACTTTTGTTCACATGTATGTAATATTAATGGTGTCACCAGTGATTTTGAATATCTTTGATTTTTTTTTTTTAATTCTTTAAACAAATTTGATCATTCATGCAAAAGTTAAATTAGTTTTTACATCTAACATTTGAAATTACCTCACCATTTCAATCTTCCCTGAATGAAAAGATATTAACCCCTTTGCTAGCATAACTATATATACAAGGCAAACCGAAAATGTTTGTGTTATTTTTTTTTGACTGACTGACTGAACATCCTATTAGGTAAAAGCCCTAGGGTGAGACTCAAAACAGGTCCAGACATTTCTTTCTGACTGGAAACGTCCTATGTGGATAAAGTTTTAGGGTTAGTGACTCAAAATTGCAGATCTACATGCATGTATTGCATATCCAAGAGTGAAGTACCAAATTAATGCTACTGGCAATGCTGTGAATGTTGCATCTCTGTGCCCCATATCTAAGTATAAACCGGTTACTAAAAAGGCACTCTCAACCAAATAAATCTTCTTGTGAAAAAAGCAAGTTTCACCAAACAAGCTCTACTAACACACAATAGATGATTTTTCTTGTACTGCTAGATCTTGCATATTGCTTAAACTGAATGTCTGATTTGATTTTGAATTCTATTTTTATAGTCAAAATGCCAACTTTTCAAAGTGGAATATAGTGTTGAGATAGCCTTACTTCATTAAGTGTACTGCATAGCACAAATTTAAACATGGAATACTGTAGGATCCCACAAGATGTTTTGACACCACTAGTACAGTGATATGACCTCTCTTTGTCCTGTTTTTCTGGACGATCTTGCAGTGAGAAAAAAATGGTCTATTGTGTACTCCCATGTGCATCTCCAGCTTGTGTACAGCATGGTTTTTCAGCATGGTAGCAATGAGGCTAAACATCAATATTTTGTAAAATGGAGACGAGTCCAACTTTTGTTAATTTATTTTATCTTGATTAAAAATTTAAACAATGTAAAAAATATTCAAAGTAATGTTGTGGTATTTTCATGAAAAAAGTAAACACCTCATAACACCGGAATATTTTTCACAACTATCTAAAACGAATTTTCAACACAGCTAATTACTCTTTATGCTCAAATAAAAAAAAGACTGCAAGGACAATTGAAAAAGCACTCCCTACTATAGAGTGATACATGCAAAACACATCTTTAAAAAATCTATAAAGAGCAAAAAAATATAAATTTATAAAAAGCAATTAAAAAACTATTTACAAACAAGCTTATCAAATCAGGATTAGCGTAAACAAGAATATTACCAGATCAATCTGTGTCTTGTCAACACTAATAACATTTTAAAAACAATATTTATATCATTTAAAAGATTGTCAACCAAAATATCAAATTTTCTCTGTAACCCTTTTTAATGTCAGAATGTTTTCCTGCCAATATTTTGCACATTGGTATGTAGTTTTCAATATTATTTTGGTGAATTTTTGAGCAAGTAGATATAACTCCCATTCTCTACAGTTTTAATAAGGAAAATGGGAAAAAATTGTACTCGTTTATTTTGTGAAAGGTGACACTAGATAGTAATAAGTCAATATTTCCCTACTGTACTGAATAATATGTATTCTCTCACCATTTTACTTCAACCAAATGATTCCTAAACACACACTTGCTGATTCTATTCCCATCAAAGTATACTGTAGTTAAAAACATCTTTCTACTGTGGTCTGATTGTAGCCATACCATTCGACTACATCAAAGTCCACTAGTATTTCTACAAAACATAACTACAATTGTACCTGATTTCAGTGACACTGAGAAGAGACGTTCATGAAAAGGGAATTCATCATCTGTCTTCATACATGTTACAGGATGTTGGTAGTAAGAGATGTACCACACATTGTCTCCTAGAAGTACATGGTACTACACTGTAAAAGCATCTGTTCAATGAAAGCTGAGATAATTTGAGGATATTCATGGGAATTTCTGAAAATCCAAGCTAAGGAATCAATTTTTTCACTAACCTACAGTTTACAGTATACTTTGCATCTCCACATGCTTCTGAGAGAAAATACATCACATAAAGTTAGGGTTGCCAAGGTGTTTTGTCACATTTTCCAAGCTTAAATAATTAAGTGTCAAGTTCAAAATGAATTTTGGAATTGGTCATGAGTGGATTTAAAAAAAATGGCAAACATGGAGGCGACATTAAACCTCAACATGATTAGTAACGAGACTCATTCACTTTCAATCTATTTTTTTAACTGTCTTTTCAAATGAACCTACTAGGGTAATGTAATAGTACAGCGTTTCAGTTATTGTATCATGCATTTATCATATTGGCTAATTATTAAAATTACATCATATTTATCACCTTCCCGTCGTAGTGATTTACAAATGATAAATATAATAAATGGCTGAAACATGTGTGAAAAACGAGTGACTCTAACTAACATAATAAATCCACGGGCGAATAAAAAGGAAAAAGGACAAGTTGTTTGAAAACATTACTGCACTAAATCATAGTGCCTCACTCGTTGACTCTTTGAAGTGAAAAATAACGAGTTCTTCTTAAACACTCTGGCAGGAATGATGATATGGCAGGGGTGATATTTAACTCTTTTTACTTGTTCCACTTGGATCAAATTTCGAGATTGCCTTTTTCACCTTACAGTAATGACGGTAGTGATTGTTCCTATCGATATGAAGACGGAATGTTTTACCACAACCTGGACATGGGTGTGCTTTATCGGAAATGCTGTGTACTCGCTGCTTATGTAGTTTTAAATTATAGATACTGACACACTTCACCTGGCATTGGTCACATGGGAATGGCTTGTCACCGCTACGATGCACTCGCATGTGAGCTGACAGCAGAGGTCGAGATGAAAAATATTTACAGCAGATTTTACATTTCACAAGTTTTGCTGTTTCAGAATGCTTGTAGGACTTCGCTAATTGTGTGAGACGGTTTTTAATGTCCAGGTTTCTAAGCATACTATACTGCGGGGCTACCAGGATCTGATCAGGCACGGGTGCGTTACTAGTGCTGGGACCTGGCATTGGTTCATTAGTTAGAATCACACTGACTGTACTTTGATCACTAGTGAGCGGCTGCCCACTAGACTGGTCTCTGTTGTTCACTGTATTTGGTAAAGACAGCATCTGTGAATGTGTACCCCCAGCGAACACATCAGCTTGTGTGTCTGCTTGTGACACACTTATTGGTACCACAGCATGAGACAGAGACATGACATTTTCAATTCGCATAGCTCCTGATGTTATATCTATAGAGGGATTTGCAATGGAAACACCAACATTGTTATTAAAACTGTGCATAAGTTGTTCTCGTTGGCCAAATTCCTGATGTTCCGAGCTCATTCTCCTCTCTTCCATCACTTTATTCATCTCTCTACGCATCACTCCAGAAGAACTCCTCTGTTGCTTCCTAACTGAATGGTGGTTGGTTCCCTGGAGAGTGGTGCGCTGAAAATCATGTTGCAATCTACCAACAGATTTGTTCTCTGCTGATTTAAAACTACAACTTTCCACAATCTCAAGCTCCTCGTCTTTAATCTCTACAATTTCTCGCGTTATGTTCTGTGTTTTCTTGACTTGTGCTTTTTGCTGTTCTTTGCTCACAACACTCGGTACTTGCTGCTCCCTCTGGCTACTCTCACCAGAGGACGAGTTACTGGTCGTACTATCAGAATTATCATGATGTAGTCGATCAAACATGGCTTCAATATCCCTTTTTGTCAGAAAGGAATTGTCTTTAGCATTGACTCGAAGTCCATCCCCAAGGTAATCCTTGATAAGATCAGCTGTTCCATAGTAACTGTTGCCATGGTAACTGTCAGCTACTTTAAGAAACACACTGTAGCCAGGTATTGCACCCAATTCTGAAGCCTGAAAGTGATGAAAGAATCATTTCAATATTAACAACTGAGAATCGAGTTAAAGGGTGGCAATTGGCATGCAGCGGGTGCAAACAATCATTGAATTATTTTACACACGTTGTGTACTTCGCTATGAGTCCCATATCAAAAAGGACACAGTGCAATGACCACCACCCTTTAAGAAAAAGATTTTAGCCAGCCATCAATTACAATTAATATTTCAGTGTTTACCTTGCTTTTCTTACAATTATTATAAAAATTTCTGAGTGTTAGCATTGTGTTATAAAAACATGAGGTGTCTGAGTTTTCTTGGAAGATTAATATGTTAAGATTGAATACCACTGTTACATGTATACAAGGTATATGTACTTCAGAATCTATATTGCCTAAGACCCTCATAGCACCATAGTCTGTGACATTTGCAGGTTTGAATTTCATGTAAAAATCAAACATAATGCAGTGCTTGACTTAGTTTCTGGAACAACACAAAAGGCAAAAGTGAAGAAATCAAGTTTTGTTGTTGTATCAATGTTGCATTTATATACATTTAAAACGTTGAACAAATCTACTAAATTTTATTCATCTGGTTCATTTTTTTCTGTTTGAATTGCATCACCAATAGAAATGCATATAAGCTACATTTTATATTCATGTATTGTATGCCAGATCATTGAAATACAACTGGCATATAACACCAATACACAACCACTAGGTGTTAATGAGGTTAGGCTTCTATGTTTGTCAATTACAAACACCTGATATAAACAATAGTTATATCCATGGAAAGGGGAAGTCTCTGGCAAAAATACTGTTCAACTGAAATGTCAACAGAAATTTATATATTACTTTCATGGCAATATTTCAAATTATTTATTTATAGTTAAAGTATTCTGAGTTACTTTGAGTGTTGAAACAAGAGATAACCTTGCTGAAAGTACAGATTTACAAAATTGCTGTTTTCTCCAAATTTACTAAAATCTTAACAACGAGTCAGTGAGTAGACTACATTGATTCCATTTGTTTTATTCTGGTTGTTGAGAATATTAGCTTCTAATTTGTAATTTGATCTTGTAAGAATGTGCCCCCTATATTTTCTAATACGTCATCCAAAAAACAAATGTGACCTCAGAGTGATACTAAAAATTGTGAAGAAAAACTTACCATTTTAGAAATGATGAAAAGAATAATTAGAAGAAAACAAGATACTCATTTATACTTCAATGTTCATAATGGTGTACCAGTGTTCTTTTTACAGCAAGAATTAACAGTGGAAATGCTATTACAAATTTTATTAACACTAATCACACAGTCTACACAACAAAATGTTTTTTAAAAAGTTTCTGGCCAAATGCTTGCTACAAATATACAGGTTCGATGGATTTTGGCCATTACACACTTACCACTTGAAAAATAACTTTTCTCAGCAACAGGAGAGGCTCTTTTCCACCAATTGATTCCATATTTTTTACAAAGAATGAATCTGTCTTTAAGAAATCCTTGGTGCTATCATGTGAACCCAGTCAATGCTACAAATAGGAACAATTTGGTGTGATAGTTATTAGTTAATATTATAACACTAAATATGCACACAGCTGCAATCTGCATGACCTGTCGTTTATCTTATTGACATAGAGTGTTAACCATGCAGTAAGAATTTACAGGTGACAACACAGGCATAGAGGCAGACATGCAATGCAATTCACACTTGATCTATACAGATGACATTTAATCATTGTTCATGTAACAAATCTGCAAATCTTTTCTACAGTACCATTCATAATCTGTTTGTTTTTTTTTGGGGGGGGGGGGGCATGACATGTCACAAGTGATTATGTTTTGATGGAAATTTTGCTTTCTGACAACAAATGATGCACTATATATTATATTCTATGTTTTTGTCGTCACTGATTTTTACTCTAAAAATTCTACCAGTTCAAATGCAATGTAATTTTGTATTCTAAAAACTTTTTTCAAAACTAATTGTTCAAAAGAGGTCAAGATTTTACAGTTGGGGTTGACTGGCTGAAAGCACATATTATGGAAAAACATCTGCAGAGACTACTGATAACCAAGTAAGACATTGCTTTATTCTTGGCAGACGTCATAGAAAATATTACTGTGGAATACTTTATTTTCGCTGGAATTAATTTTCGCTGAAAAGGCTTTTTGGGCATTTCGTATGGAATTTATTTTCACTAATTTTTGATGAGTTTAATGTGAAATATAGGAAAAAAAAATATATTCGCTGGATTTTATTTTCACGGAATCATCCTTTCAGCGAAAATAAATTCCAAGCGAAAATAAAGTATTCTACAGTATTTATTTTTGCTACTAGTGTTCAGACATTGGTTATATAGACTATAATTATCACTGATAATGATATTAATTTCATTAATTTGACATTTTGAGCATATTTACTGAGTTCAAATTCACAGATTGTTCAGTGCAACATTGAGTGGTATTTTGTTATGGTACTTATCAGCGAAAATCTCGAATTTAAAACCCAGTGAATAATTAATACATTAACGCTAGTTCAATATCAGTCACGAGATTGTCCATACAATGGTATATTCTGTGCTGGCCGCCTAGCTTGTGTTCAAACGTGAAAGACCTCTCTAAACATAGAAATCAAAACTTGAATAGTTACTTAGGCAAATATTACCAAACACTATTATATCACATGTAACGGTTCTAGTAGCTTTTTATCTACTAGTATTTACTATTCATCTAAACACGATGTCCAAGTCAAGGAGGGGACATTTCAAAGATGAATATTTATGCCTAAAATTTACATATTTGTGCATTGCGGACCGTCTACAACGTGCACAAAACCTTATTTTGTACATAGCATAATAACGTGCAGCAAATTTACTCACCTTTGGTTTCATTATTAACAAAAACAGTCCACGATCACGACCCCAATTTGTTGTTTTCACAATGAATAGCGCCACCAAGAGAAACAATGTAATTAAAGACCACTTAAGTTAACAGTAAAACATAAGTTACGTTGACCTTTCATTCACATGTCTTCGACATCGTGTAATTTGTGTTTCACAGAAGAGTTTTCCAAAGTGTGCTAACAGTATTTTTTTTGTGATCGTGTAAAAATACTTGTATGAGTCTGTGTACGCGACGGTATGGTGAAACAATAGCTAGGGGGATCTACTTTGATGGAGTAACGAAATCGAACAAACAAACAAGATGGCGACGTCTAGAGGAGTGAAAAAAGGTATTTTTGTATCAAATATCGACCTCAAATATCCACAGATGTGTTATCGATGTGAAAGTGATTGTGTTTTGTTCGGCGTATTTTCAGGGACAGTTTATTTTATTTGATCTTTGACACCTAGTGTAATTTGTTCATTTAGCGACATGTCAATATATTTTTTGTATTATGTAGCAGGCAATGCCTGGCGAGCGAACATATTCGACGGCTAGACCGGTTGACCAATCAGAATCTAGGATTTGCAGCGGAATATAAGTCGTAATACACTTTTTTGGAGACAAAGGAATTGTTCAATCAGTATACAACAAATTACACGAAATTCTGCTTCGTTCCGGCAACATAGGTTATTCCAACCAATACAGACAATTGTAACTATTGAAGCTGAGTTAGACTGTAGTTGTCTTTTGATTACATGATGACTATTAATTTCAAACTGTTCAAATAAAAGAATTACATAATCGCAAACATGCTGCAAAATTGTTTGCAAAATGTTTCTAATATTTCATTTTCAACCAACAATACTGGTGTGATGAGTCGAATAGTGAACTCGTTTTGTAGATTGTGCAAACTCATAATTACTAATAATATACCTGACGTAACTATAGAACGTTGAAGTGTCTGAACTGGAACCATTGAGTTTTTATTTCACACACGAGTTGAGCAGGATTCAAGGTAGTGCCATACAGAATTTATATATCATCACTGCTCAAAATGAATCGTAAAGGCCTTTCACAGTTAAACTATTTTCAGTTGGTTGTCAAAAGACTATTACTTGGTCACTGGAGGATATTTCTAAAGATGTTTTGCCATGAATGAGCTGTCTCACTTTGTATCCTTAAGTCAAGTCTACGTCACAAACTGGTCAAAATCCCCCAAACATTGCCAGCAACCAATCACAGACTAACTTAAACAATAGCTTTCCCTGATGATAATACTTAGCAACGTTATTTCCCCCACGCTAACTTGAAAAATCTTTTGTTTTTGTCTCGTTTCCGGTCTGTCTTAGAGAATAATATGACAACCAATAACCACTTATGATATGCTGGAAAGTGAATTTAATTTTGAATAATTACATGCAATTAATGACGTGACACATACCAACTATGTAATTTGTCACACCTCAGTTACATTTGTCACATCTGTCAACGCTGAATTTATTAATTACATTTATGTGTATATAAAGTAATAATCTAATTGTCTTATGTGTTTGGTGCTTTTCAAACATGATAAAACAAAATCCAAAATGAGAGACTATGGCAGGATTATCTTCAAAGCAGTACATTATTTACTAAATAGTTGAACCAAATTATCATAAATATGAGATAGAACACAGCATCAGATGTGTTTATATTTAATTGTATGTCTGAATTTACATTTTTACAAATTTGAAATATATCTGGTAAAACAATAAGAACAGCTGAATATACATGAAACTATATATTATATTTTCAGAACCACATGCCTATAGTGAAATTTCCCTTCGGGGGAACAGATCTGTCATGGAATACTGGTAAGAAACAATAGTCTACTACTGACTAATTCATTATATATACATAACATATCTATAGCATTCTTTTATTATCGTACATTCATCCTAAGAATAGTGGGCAATGCTGTAATGTTCATCGATTTTTTGTTAAAACATTGCTATACAGCAATGAAAATATTACCATTTTGTAAGTGAGCTCATCAGTTTGGTAAAACTAATCCATCTTACATAGCTCAAGGTATTAATGAAACTTGTTTTGTCTCTACTGTAGATGCTCAATGAAACACTGCATACATGTACACAAGTAATTTGAATGTAGTCACACTGTCACCAACAGACCTTGAGATTTATTATATAATAATGCATGAAGACAACATTAGTGCTAAACTTAATAAGAAACGATTCACAACTGAAAAAAATGCTGCAAGTTCAATAATGAAATATGAATATGTAACATGCAACTAGCGCCCTCTAGGAATGAACTAAATGTCTATTTCTCCCTATACTATGTAACATAGGAAATGTATTTAAAAACGTAAATTGTGATTTTTAAAAAGTATCTTTTATTCTGTTTGTTTGTGTTAACATTTTTAATTGTATGATCAATGAGATTATTTGGGTGTATTATTAGATTTAAGTGTTTGTAATATTTGCTCTAAATATGAATTTGAAACTGCTAATTGGACTAACTTTGAAATAAAGTCCTAACATTTTATTTGCTAATTTATATACCACACTGTAAAAACCCGCGATCTCTATTAACTTGCACATCCAATTGATTCTAAAAAAATAGTTATTATATGTATTCTATGAATTCAGTGTTAGAAAAAAAAGGTCCTTGTATTCATGCTCAATCATTGTTATGCAAAACATGGCATGGAAATCATCATTATCAAGCAATTTGTTTTTTTCAAAAATGTTTTGTGAAACTTCTCTTGAATTAGATCAGGAATAGGTGATTTTCCGTTCAACTGCGAGATCTTGCGAGTTGCATGAAAGACGTGTGTCGAACGTCTGCCGCAAAAAATCGAACGATTTGATTTTGAACTTGAATTTCTTTATTTTGTAGCTCACATCGATAGTCCAATCTTCGACAGAGGAATATCGCTCTCGAGTACCCTTGTTGATTGAAGTTGCCTATCATCAAATGTGTACAGCACATTATTAAGCATGGAAATGTCCTCCAAAATACTTTCGCGTTTGTCGAATCCCACACGATGTTTGACGACGCTATGACCTTTGTTTGTCCTGTTTTTACGTTCGATTTCACGCATAATGCGTGATTCTCGCAGTGAACGGAAAATGCTCTATTTCCAACACATCATATCAATAAACCTCAATTTTTTCTCATGATTTGATATACTATCGGTAATAAAATTTTGTAGGACAACATTTCACAAATATCACTGAGACTCTGCGTCGCTATGATCCCAGTAAAATCTTCACTGCTACAAATTTCACTGACTCACTAAAATCAGTTTAATAAAGTTTTCAAAACACTGTAAATTTCTGCCTTATTAACCAGGACATACTTGCACTGATAACAATATGTATTGTATGATGCACACAAGAACCATGACATTTTAAGTGAATTTATAACTATGCATAAATTAATAATGCTAAAGTGCCAACAATCTTGTTGTAGGAATATTTTTTTCTCTTTTCTTTTCAATTAACTACATCATAAAATAGCAAAATTACATGATATCTAAAAGCATTTGTTTTATAGTAAATAACAAGAAAATCTGGCATGCATTACTCACAGTCCTGGGTAATTTTAGACAACAAAGGATTATTAATACAAAGTCATTTTGAAACATGTACTGTAAAATACTTTATTTTTGTTTGGAATTAATTTCCGCTGAAGGAATGATTTAGTGAAAATAAAATCCAGCGAATATACCTTTTTTCCTATATTTTACATTCAACTTGTCAAAAATCAGTGAAAATATATTCTATACGAAACACCCAAAATGTCTTTTCAGTGAAAATTAATTCCTCCTAAAATAAAGTATTTCACAGTATTACAGAATTGTATAAACACAAACATGGCTGAAATGTAGGGAGAGAGTTTGAACTTTGATAACTATGGTATATTATTATACATGTATAGTATGTTTTGTTTTCACAGTCGGACATCAATGTCAGCTCTGTCCGGTGCAACAGCTGGTATACTGGGACTGACTGGCTTGTATGGGTTTATATTTTATCTTATCACGTCACTATGTTTGTCTGTAAGTATGCCTTGTTCTATGAGGTGTGAGGTTGACAATTTAATTGACAAATAACGAGGAGATATTTGATTTCAATCTGGTCTGCTTGAATCGTTGACAAGTTGACCAAACCTGCATGAAAATGCATACATAATTGATGATGTTAACTACTTCTACAAGATTTTGCGTTATGCATGAATATCGCTATCTGAACATATGCCACAAAAATCAAATAATTTGATTTTGAGCTTGAATTTTTTTTTTTTGTATCAGAATACCTTCTCATCAAAATTGACCATCATGAAATGTGCATAGTTCATTCTTAAATGTAAAAATACTCCAAACAAACTTTCGTCCTAATTACATGTGTCACTATGATGAACTTTTTTGTCCGTGGTTACATGATTTCATGCATAAGGCAAAATCAAGCTGCAATAAACAGAAAATGATCTATTGAGATATGCTGTTGATATATTTAAATACTGTGTAGACTTCTTGAATATTATTAGGATGATATTTGATAAAATTTTGACATGAAATTCTCATCTGATGGGTCAATAAATATGAAATAATTTTTTGTGTTTTTTGAGTGGGGATGTGGTATATTCTACTAGTGAATGCATTTGGTATTTGGTAAACATAATTTTTATTTATCACATAACAGAAATTTGTACAAAATGTTCATTATAAATCATTTTTTTTGTTACAGATAATGTTGGTTGTAAAGGCAGGTAGTGGCTGGAAGAAATATTTTATATCAAGGACGCCACTTTTAACGAATGGTTTTATGGGTGGATTATTTGTATCCTTTTATTACATCTGTAAAGTACAGAGATGACAAAAAAAATGGAGACTATTTGACCTCTTTGTGTCTCACCATCCACATTTCTAAGATGCGCATTCACCAATTTCTATCAAACTTACTATTAGACATTCCAGAATGTTATACGTACAATGTATGTACATGTATTTACATTTTGATCAAATATGGCTGACTTGTGGCCATTTTGCGAACAGAAATTTTAAAATGCATGTATTTGAAAGTGTCTGCAACACTAATCAGTTTGATCCAACCGCCACTGAAATGTAAGTAGTTGACCAAAAAGATGAGACTATTCACCTTTCCAACTATGACATCCACAGTTATCATACTTATTTTAATGATGCATCCATGTACTAAATTTTATTTCTCTTAACCAGATTATTTACAGACATATATTCTTTTCTGGACGTATCCTTATATTTTATCTGTATACATGATACTTCAATATGATTTGTCATGTCAGTTATGACTCTGAGCTTATTTAGCATTCTTGGTTAATATGTCAGGCATATAATGAGTAGAGTGTAGTTGGCCTCAGATTCATATTCAAGTCTGGATTCCAACTTTGGATTCCAGTCCATAATATTTAGATTCCAACTTCAGATTCAGATTCAATCCTAGGATTCAGATTCCTGTTTCAGATCCAGATTCCAACTTCACTTTTTTCTCCTAAATCCTCATTCCCAACCTTGAATTCTTACTCCCCACCTCAGATTCAGATTCCAACCTCAGATTCCTGTCTCAGATCTAGATTCCAACCTCAGTTTTTCTCCCACATCCTGATTCCCAACCTCAGATTCCTGTTTCTGTGTCAGATTCATATTCATATTCCAATGCTTGATAAGTAATTACTTATCTGATCTGAAGCTGGAACTACATGTATAACCAGAATCTAAGTGTGTCTTCACATCTGTGGTATAGGTAAGTGGGGACTAGTATGTTTTTCTATATTACACAACTCCAACAAGTTACTAGTACTGTTATGTATTGAAATACTGCTTTGTGATAGATTCATTTGTCATTCAACATTGCTGGTGAGTAGCAGACTTCCTCAGAGCTAAAATTGTACTTAGTCCTTGCAGCCTTGACGTCTTTCTGAATAACCATAATTTTATAATTTGTAACTTGGTGTTACATGCAGTTGCAGTACTGCCTTCATATACGGTCTCCCATATTTGGCTTCATTGTCACCTATTTGTATACAACAAAGTATATAGGTATTTATACTGTTACCAATCAATCTAACTGCAACACAAAAGTAAACAGATGAAAAGTATATGTGTATATATGATGTCATGGCTTATTAAAAAATAACTATAAAACTGATTTCAAAACATGTAGGAATTACTACTTTTTACAGTGCAACACTGGAATAACATTTAAAAAATGTAACTGCAATTGTCAAAAGTAAATGCTATTATGCATATTGCTTGCTTGGGGAATTATTAAAAGGGTGAGCAAGTTGAGTAAAAATCAGATGTTTTTAGTCTTATTAGTGTGTGGTACACAGTTGCAAATTGCAAAATCTTGGTCTTAATGACTGCCCTCATCTGAAAGCTACTTTGCATATATTTTGCATTTATTTAAATGGGGTGTGTAGAATAGGGCAGGGCTTAATGACAGCAAATATTCAGTGTGTTGCTTGACCATTTCATCGTCTTACCCGACCATTTCATTTTGTTCACAAACTTGAGGGACGCATTAAACATTTGGCAGCCAAATGTTGTACATACATGTATTAGTAATCTCGTACTTCAAACTGATATCTCTTATTTTGTTTGGCGAAAATAGAATTGTCTGTGGACATCAACACAGCAACAATTAAACATAATAAGATCATAGACCGCCACATTAAGAACATTTTACCAAGCATTTCACTTCATTTGTACATGTGAAACTGAGACCTATTTGGTTTAAAAACAATTAAAGTTCTTGTATATACTACTACATGTAGACGGAATATTTTATCATTAGTCAGCTCATGTGAAATAACAAAGCAGTTATTTTCTTCCTTAAGTTTGAAATTAATAATTTGCCACTTTGATGAGATGTGACACTGACGCCAATGCAATGCAATGAAAATGAATTTTGAAAGTCACAATAATGCAAAAGCTGCTTTGTGTGTTGAACATTATTTTTTTGCATTATTCCTTGACTGACTTTTCTAGGTTTTTATACGGTATGGTTCATGTGTATTGAAGACTCATTGATTGCCCAATTTTCAGTCAAGTTATTTGATCTCGTCTGGACCCTCTGATGTTTCCTGCAATACTACTGTTTTCATACAGGGTTGAGACTGGGGAGTGTTTGACCAATAAAAGAAGTATATCTGTTATGTGCAAATACCATCTGTCGGATTTATAGCATTTATAATTTACTTTTTGCAAATCACAAACAATCTTCTCACTCCATCACTACTCACATATTTTATTTTGTCTGTACACTTGCTATGTCATTTATCCGATGCATTTCATCAAAAGATTCAAGTAAAATGTTCACTGCTTCAGATTTAAAAAAAAAATGTCCTTGTTCATTTGTCTCTTGAAATTAAAGGTTTTTTTTAGTATCATAACTTTCATGTTTGCAGGAATTGAAACCTCGTCAGTTACATCATGCTAACGCAAAAATGGCAGCAAATTGTTTGTGCTAAGTTTTATATGTTTTTATCTGACTAGCAGCAAATATGATTAAAGATTGCACATAAAAATTCAATTACTCTCGTCTTGACATGCGTTATATTCTGCATGCCTAGGATAATTGTGGTATTCATCATCTATTTCTACATTTTCTACTATATACTGGTACATTTTCAAGAATATCTGCTCATGATATAATTTTGGAAAAATCCAGACCCTACTAATTAATTAACTAATTAGTTCCCTTTCGGGCACTACTCTGTGTCCGACCTGTATCTTGGACATGCCTGTACTGATTACATTCAAACACTTACATCTTACATAATATACAATCACTGTCATTTTTGACTCCCATGTGCGAAGCACAAAATGGGAGTCTTTGCAGTTAGTGTGTCTGTATGTGTGTGTGTATGTGTGTATGTGTGTATGTGTGTGTGTGTGTATGTGTGTCCGACTGTTCCACTGCTATCTCAAGAACCATACATCGGTTTTTGATGAAACTTGGTGCATAGATGCTCTGGGCCAATGCGCAGATTTGATTAGGTTTTGGTAAAAATCCATGCTCGTTAATTACCTAATTTGCATGATAATTAGCTAATTTTTAGCTGTTCTATGACTGTTCCACTGATATCTAAAGAACCACTCATTGGATTTTGATGAAACTTGGTACATAGATGCTCTGAACATATGCGCAGATTTGATTAATTTTTGGTAAAAATCCGTGCATATTAATTACCTAATTTGCATGATAATTAGCTATTTTTTAGTGGTTCCATGACTGTTCCACTGATATCTAAACAACCACTCATTGGATTTTGATGAAACTTGGTACATAGATGCTCTGAACTCATGCTAGGTTTTGATTAGTTTTTGGTAATAATCCGTGGATACTAATTACCTAATTTGCATAATGATTAGTCAATTTTCGGTTTTTCCACTGATATCTCAAGTACTAATCATCACATTTCAATGAAACTTGGTACATAGATGTCATACGACACTG